AGATCCAATTCAAAGATTAAGGAACAATGCAATCTGCAACATTAACTGAATTAGATCCATTTTAGCTTAGCTTATACAGTCCGTTATACATTAAACGCACATGCGTAAACGCATATTCGCAGCCGCAAAGGCCTAACGCATGTGAAGAAAGTTTGTAGCTTTGAGGTCCGGATTATCGGTGACCGAATTAAGGACTTTTGACTGTACCTTGTTTATTTTCCAGATTCAAAATATTGTATAATAAGTTGACAAAATGAAACTTTATAATATGACAGCGAAAAAATAAAAATGTTTTATTTTAATGTTATTTTTTAAATATAATTTCAATATATTACCATTATTTTAATGAAATTTATAATGTTATGAATGATTTATTATGTTACAATGTTTTAAAAAAAAAATCGTCGAAAAATTCTCAGATCTCGGAATGAAAAATTTTCTATAGAAACTGAACTTAAAATCACCAAAATGTTGATAAGTCGCCAAATTTAGAACTGTTTAATAAAAGAATTCACATCCCCAAAAGCAAAAAGTTGTTCAAGAACTCTTTATTAGAAGAAATGAATTTCGAAATGCTTGTTGCTTAGAAACTCGAGTATCCCAACATTTATATTAGAAAAAGAAACAAATTATAACCCATGAACCCATTCACAAGATAACAATATACGCCAGCGAATCGCAAAAAATATTCCTCCAAAATGCTAATTCACACTCAAAATGGCAAATGTAAAAACAGACAGCAATTTCAGATGATTAAAATTAGGACTTTTAAGGACTAAAAATAGATTCCAAAAAATCTAAGGACTTTTAAGGACTCTTAAGGACTGCAAGAACCCTGGTATTGCATTTTCTTGAAGAAATAATAGAAAGCCATCTGTGCACAATTTTTGAAAAGTACAGGAGTATTTTGCCTCTTCGTAGACATAACTAAAATGAAAGATCCTAATTTCTTAAACTATTTATCGAAAGCACATGCACTCACACCACTCAGCGGTAAGATGAACAAATTTACAACCTCGATATTGCTTTATGCTCTATGGCTAATGTATGCCAGATGACACGCAGTGGAACTCGATGTTCACTGGAGAACTAGAACATGACTTTTTTCGGACACATGTGCTCTCATTCACAAAGCAGAAGGGCACCCTAGTTTCTCCCTGATGAAACAACTATGGTTTTCTTTATAAAATATAGAGAAAAAAACAAGTGCTTTTAAACACACAAAACCACTTTTTCTTTTTTTGCTTTTTGGGGGAGGGGTTGCAAATAATGAAGTACTAAGCCAAGATACGCAAAAATCGTGAAAATTTTTAAGAATAAGATCAAATCAAGAGAAATATGTTGTGAATCAGGTTGGTGAGAGAACGGTCAGAAATCAGAAGTCTTCTACCTAAATCAGAAGAGTTGGGAACTCTGTAATTATTCTATACTTTTTTCATTTAAAAGTTACCAGTTGAAGAACTGGGATTTTCATTTCCAAGGTCTGAGGAGATAGAGTAAAATTTAATAATTTAGTTTCCATTCTTCCATTTTCTTATTGCTTATATAGCTAATTATATTAGCTATTCTAATATAGCTACTTTGATACAAAATCAGACTTTTTCTGAAACAACATACCATTTTTTTTTCCATATAATAATTCTATGACTCAAATTATGCCTAGACATTACATTTTGTAATTTCTGATGAAAATTTATGAAGAAATTTAAAAATTTATCTTGGTGAGCTTTTTTCACTTGGCAAAGTTTTTAATCTACAGCAATCTATTTTCCTTCCCCCCCTTTTTTTTCATTGTACAGGAGTGGTAAAAAGTCATTTTTCCTTTTTTTATATAAGTGTAAACCACATTTGGCATTATTATTGCTTGTAACAAATATGCCAAATTTCAAAATGCACCAATATGTAAATTCACCTATATCTTAGAAAATTTTGAATAAAACATTAGTTTTTTGTAGGCATGGTTAGAAATACATCTACTTTAAAATGACCGTAGAAATTTTATAGGTTACAATTCAAAATTTTTTTTCAAAAAATTTATAAAAATTATTTAAAACGCAAATTAAAAAAAAAAAAAATCATAAAAAATGGTCGAATTTTATCTGAAATTAACCTAAATTTTGAAATGTGAAAGGAAGAACCAAAAACGTTTCATTAGGAAAAAAAAAAAAAAAGATTAATAAAATGTGAACCAAATTCAATTAAAATTAACATAGTGGAGCTAAAATTTTTAGAGCTAATTTTTTAAAAACTACTCGTGCATGTTTTACAAAACTTGGCAGTTTTGCATAATTTGAGTCGTAGAATCGAAATACAGGAAAAATTGGCAAGTCATTTCAGATTTTGTGTCAAAATATCTATATTAGAACAATGCTATATATAAATCTAATGCATATCCTAAGTTGCACTTTCAAGACATGAAAAACACAAACTGAATTTCGTCAATGAACCCAGTAGAACGAGAGATATGGAATGTTTTTTTTTTTTTTTCTCAGTGTTCATAAATGAAGCTGTAGTGCGCATGCTTTTGCTAATAAATGCTACTTATTTATACCCTACTTATACTTATAGTACTTATAGTATCATGGATTACCCCAAATGTTACTAAAAGATCTACACCTTAACGTAAATAAATAAGGTTCTACTGTATTATAAAAAAATTGATATTTTGGATCAATGAGATGTTCACTAAACCTGACACAAAATTATAGAGAGTTTCAAACATAGCAGGAACTCTAAGATGACATAATTGTAATATTTAAAACAGTTTCCAACTTTATTTTAAAATGAAATGCTTCAAGCATGATTTAATAAGGAAAAAAGAAAACTATTATATTAACAATGAATTCATGACAATTATTGGATTAATTTCAGCGTTTTCAGTGTAACAATTCAAAGTTTTTTGTCAACTCTATGGAATTATGAAATGCTTCAGCAGTTTATTTATCCTGCAAGTGATCATTGAATCCCAGATATAACAACTTGTGCTCATTAACATCTACCTAGTTGTTCATGAATCGAACTTCTTAAAAATCACCACTAAATGAAGTTCTTGTAAAATATCACTAAATTAACATGTATAATGCTAAAAAATATAAAAATAAATAATAGTTCAGAAATGCTACATGACGAAAGTCTATAACTTAAAAATACTTGCTTTAACTAACCAAATCTTATTTAAAATGAGCATTTCAACACACTCTATAATTATAAAATAAATCTCTAAACTCAATAGTTCCAAACTTTTATAAAGTTAGTGAAGTATACTTAAAAAACTGTTTTAAATACATTTTAAATTCAAAAATGATTTAACTTTCAGATAAGTTCGTACTTCACATTACATACCCCTATATTTCTTACATCATTGCTAAAATTCAAAACAAATGCAGTAAGTATAAGAAAATGTGGTTTCTTTCATTTATGCAATTTGTTTTTTTGAATTAAAAAATTAAAACAGCATTTGTTTATAAATATGTAAATTTTTTTAAAATTATTAAATATACTAACCTATTCTGTTACTCCGGATTTTTATATTTCACATAAAATCTACAGATTTTTCATTCTCAGATACATGCATTTAACAGTCTTTTTAAACATTAAAAAATACAAGCATAATGTGAAAGCATTGTTAAAATTGTCAAACATCTAAGCATCATTCCACATAAATAAACATTTAAAAAGCTGCTGGATTAAAAATATAAAGCTAATATATAAAGAGATCAAGCAGATATGTCTTGTGTTCTCTGTAACTCATTTGTATAGTCAAAAAACTTTGGTAATACAGTTAATAAATAAATTAAGATGAACAGAATTATAAAATTACATTAATTGCTAGAATTTTCAATTCTATTCTATAAAATAGAGTGGCTATTTCTTTTAATGCCTGCAAAGTTTTCATTGACATTGTTTCATTTATATTTAAGTCTCTATAAAAATTATAATTAGAATGTTATGTCATATGCATGTTTTACCTAGTGGGGAAAGTATGTTTATTTGAGCTGCGTTTGTACAAACTTTCCAAATGATGGCTGCAAAGCTCACACTTTTTTTTAACACATAACACTGACACGAAACATAATCAAGCATTCTTACTAGGAAAGCTACATTTACAGTGAAGATCAATACTGTCAAAAGTTTTGAAACAAAAATCTTCAAAGAAAACAATGAGATTATTAAAATAATCAAAAAAGAAAAAAAAAATCTTATACAATGCATGCATTTTAAAGAAATAAATTCATGGATAAATAACACAGATTTGAACTGGTTAAGAGAAACAACAGAGCTTACAATATCAAAAGAGTGAAAAACTTATTTCTTAAAAGGCCATATATTAAAAAGTTAATAAGCAAAAAATTCAGACTGAATAATTTCCATTTTCCTGCGTTCAATAAAAATCTGATATTTATCGTGGCTTTCAATAAACCCAATATTTTAGTATGGTTTTTAGTGAAACTCCTGATATTTTTATTATGGCTTTCAATATAATTGATATTTCAACCAACGGGGGAGAGAGGGAGATTTTTCTTCATTTCACCAGAAATATATTCTCATACTTTCTGGAAAATATGAATTTACAAATTCACAAGTTAGAAGCCAAGTTTCATTTCTTATTTAATTTATTCAATGCCATTTATGTTGAGATAAACATTATGCTTCAAATTTATAAATTTCAGTAGGTTTAAAACCTGGATATCAATGGATTTTGCCAAAGATAAACCTCTGAAGAAAAAATGATATACATAATATGCAAATCCAGTAACTGACGGTAACTGACGACTGTTCATGCCTTTTAAAGGTACATAGTAAATAACAATTTTAAAGGTTAGTTTATAAAGCTTGTTTTAACTTCTTTTGTGATGATATTATGTATGTTTTAAATTTATTATGAGTCTCAAATTTGTCAATCTGATTTGAATGAAGTTGTTATTTTTGTTTCTCAAGACCTTTTAAAAAATTTAGATCATTGCACTGAAACACAGCAAAAGCATCATAGATTCACATACTTTAGGTTTTTCTCGATGGGTATCAACAGCTTCAACTGGAAGTTTGAAAAGTTCCATTTCACATCCATATGCAACTGGTGTAAGTTTTATAACAGTATGCAATGGCACTCTCAAATATGGCAATTCTTCTAAAAATAAAAAAGTTGAAATTAAATAAAACCGATTATTTACATTTTGCACAAGTACAGAAACATCAAACACTATCAAAGGCAGAGATTATAAAGCACCTAACATAATGGAAATATGAAATTTATACATGAAAATTTGAAAGTATATATTTATCTAAAAGGATGCCACACAGGCATTAATGTCATAACTCTTATTTGGGATTCTAAATCATAAAAACTGAAGTAACTTAATCAAAAATTCACTTATTAAAGGAACTCTGAAAGTCTTCAAACTACTCCAACAAAACAATTTATACCGATTTAACAGCCAACAGGGAAAATTTTCAACCAAAATATCAATCTTAATTAAAAAATACATCCAGTACATAATAATAAAATAATTAATTCACAATGATAAGCATAAAAACTTCACCAAGCATACAGAGGTAATTTCTGGAAAGGGGAGCGTAATATTTAAGAAAGCACCAGAGTATTTTTTCTCGTCCGAAAATGATCTTGTCAAGATGAAGCAATCACAGCTAAAAGAACTATAGTGAATTCAAATTAACAGCAGCAAGGTCATTATAAAAGTAAACTTCTTTCAGTGGTTTAGTAAATTTCAATTTAGACATTAGCATTTTATTAAGGCCTGAGCTCTTTCTTAAAAACATTAAATGTCTATAAATACAGTTCAGTCTTGATGTACTGATACTTAATTTAATGACATCCTCAGTTTAATAGTTTATTATTTGTCCTGCGTGAAACACATAAAAAATATTATAAAATTATGTCAAATTTAGTGATTGATTTTCTAAATCCAAAACAAATATTTTGTAAAACTAATATATAATCCAAAAGCATAAGCTTCTTGACCTTAATATAGTAAACCTTTCATAAAAAATGCTTCTTAATGCTATAATTTTCTGAAAATGATGCCAGCAAGCTAAGCTTTAATGTTTTATGAAGATGGGGCAGCCTGTTTACAAAAATGAGAAATGTTAGCAGAATGATCATCAGATGTTTCCACAAAGCATGATTTAACAATAACAAAATGATGAGTTAATCCGGTTTGTAATGAACAGCTCAGTCATCAAACTGCTCTCTTGGGATGGTATGCTAACTGGATGCATTGACTTGTTAACACAGGCAAGTCATGCTGCTAAGCAAAACTTTGGAAAAAATTTACATAAATAAAATTTGTCATCTAACTGCTCCAATTTTTGGTACATTATGAGAGGAGCATTCAGGTAGTTATCAGAAGCAACTTCAAAACTTTACCATCATACTTTTCTTAAAAATTTTATAAATGCATTCATTCTAGAGTATTATAATCTTTGGCTTATCTCAAATGAATAAACATGGCGTAAACACCCAGTCATATATTTTATTTAATATAACACATTAATAAAATTAAAATGATTCAATATCTTTCATAAAAAACCCAGCATTTATAATTGTTGCCTTACCTCAAATAAATATACACAAACAAATAAATGTGTCTGTATTAGAGCTCCTATATAACTATCATTTTCCAATTTTGCAAATATATTGTAATGCCCGTAACACCATGAAACAGAAAAAAGGTCTTTAACTTGCAATATTGAAAAATGGCAATTCATAGTTATCCCGAAAAGCACATTACATCAGATCATAGACTTCTGAAGAGAGAGCTTGAAAAATTTAAAAAAGAAGACCATCCTTAGAAATGGCAGAAGTTGTGCAATTTTTCTGGCGAACTGAAGAAAAGGAAAAGTTCGGACAATGAGTCTCGTTTGGTGATCCTGCAGCCAAGGGTGCTGATATTTCCTTTTAAAAAATGCCTCTTGCTATAAGATTCTGACATGCGTTTATCCTGCAAGATGATTCAAACCAAGGAAGGAAAACTGCCACTAATTTAGTCATTTGCATTCAGCATCATTTTTGGAGACAGGACCAAGGAATTTCTGAAAGTGACCTATGCAAAATTGTTGTAATTCACAGCTATTGGAAAGTATAAAATACATTTTCTTTTTCTTGATTACATTAATAAGATTCTGACAAATATGATTACTCATCAGTGTGAGGAAAAAAGACTCATTTATGATTTGTGCTTCTGTTAAATATGGTTCATTCACATTTAGGCCTAAGAATATAAGGTATTTCTCCCACTTCCCTAGCGCGCCTTCGTGGTGTAACGGTAGCACGCTGGGCCGGTATTCCTGAGGTCTGTGGTTCAATACCCAGCGAAGGCGGTTGCATATTTTTCATCTTTTTCCGCTTCCAATTAACCTAATGACTCTACAAGAGTACTTGGCTAAACCATAGAAAATATCCATTCAAGAGCAATAAATAAAACCTCTAAAAAGATAGAACATCTACCCTGCTATACCTGTTCCCACCCCCAAATACATATTATGAAGCCTTGATGCATTTGTTTATATCGACTGTCACAGTTAAAGAGCCAATACATCAACCACAAATCTTGCTCTCATTCAGAAACAAAAAACCAAAATAAAAATATTACATAGGAATGAAGGTCAACATACTTCATTTTTCATTAACTTCACGATAACAGATATACAGCTACATCTAGAGTGCAACAAAAAAATACTAATTAAATGTTCTGTCTAAAAAGTCATATATGGTTTGCCAGGCCTCACAGTGAATTAAATGGCCATTCATATATGGTACATTTAACCCATGAGATAATGTTTGCTGGCAATGCATGTATGACACACGGGTTATAGCTATCAGTTTATTTGCATGATATGATATAGCTTCAGATAACTTAAACCATACAGGTTACAAAAACTTAAGCATTAGCATTGTGTTCTATTCACAAACTTCTATTCATAATTTGGATTTGTATGCCTCATTGAAAAAACATTTATAATGAGCAAAGCATGATCATGGAATTGAATATCAAAAGTGATAAGGTGATGGGCAAGAGACTTTTGAAACAAATGGGAATCTACAAGGATAGTATACATGACAATAATCAGTGTCAATTAGTTTGTTTTTAATAAACCCGCTACTTTAGATATAAATTAATAGCCGGTATTGTACAATGAAGCCCAACAGAGCAAAAATTTTTGAAGTTAACACTTTTTGCATGTATATATAGAATATGAGAAAGAAATTATATAATTAACAAACATTTGGTCATTTAACAGTAATTTTCCTTACCCCTCAACAATTGGTAAATTAGAATATGATTTTATATTCCTCAGTCGTAATTTTTTAGCCTCATAGTTACACTATGCATAAGAAATGCATAACAGTTAATATACAGCCAACTTGTTCATCTGTTAGGAGTCAGAAGAATGATGTAATTGGTGAAGATGATATACTTGCCATTTAGAAATTTTAAAGGTTCAGCTAACACTCACTAAACAGTTAAACATGACTTAAACCTGAGGCTAATACTACTAGATCTTAAGTTATAGAAAGCAAGTACATGCTACAGAATTAACCATATTTATAAATGAAAGCCCTTTTCAAACACAGATAAGAGGGCAAACATATGTAACACACAGAGCAACTAACAATTACAAAAATAAAGGTAAGTAAACTTTTTTAGGCATGGTTGAAGTTTTATACACAACAGTCTTACACTTCTTATATACGAGGCGTACTCGGAAACTAAGTACCGTTTTGAAAAAAAAAAAAAAAAAAAAAAGTAAAACAATTTTTTTCGAATCCAATTTTATTTTTACATGAAAATACATGTATTAAACTATTTTTCAACATAGTTTCCGCCAATGATCAAACATTTGTCATAGCGGTTGACCAGTTTTTGTATACCATCGTCAAAGAAACTTCCCGCCAGTTTCGATACCCACGACTCCACAGAATATTTTTCGTGTCATTGTCAGATCCAAAGCGCTTGCCACCAAGCTCGCACTTCATATGCAGGAACAAGTGATAGTCGGACGACGCCAAGTCCGGGCTGTACGGTGGGTGATTGAACTGCTCCCAATGAAACTGTTGAATTAACGATTGAGTGACACCAGCAGTATGGGGCCGAGCATTGTCATGGAGCAACACAATTCCTTTACTGAGCATTCCTCTTCATTTGTTTTGAATGGCACACCTTAGTTTTGTTAAAGTCTCACAATATTGTGCCGCATTAATGGTTTCACCTCTGGGAAGAAATTCAGTAAGCAAAACGCCTTTCCTCTCCCAAAAGACGGTGCACATGATTTTTTGTGATGACATTGTCACTTTGAACTTTTGTTTTTTCGGAGAATGAGTGTGTCTCCACTTCATCGATTGTTGTTTCAATTCTGGTGTGAAATGACACACCCAAGTTTCATCACCTGTCACAATTTGGTTTAAAATGTTCTCTCCCTCATCACTGTACCGCGTGAGAAATGTCAGGGCACTACCAAGTCGCTTTGTTTTGTGAACATCAGCGAGCATTTTTGGAACCCATCGGGAACACAGTTTGCGATAATTCAAGCGGTCAGACACAATTTCGAACAAAACAGTGCGTGAAATTTGTGGAAATGCCTCTGAAAGGGTTGTCATTGTGAAGCGTCTGTTCTCATGAATTGCTTCATCAACTTTCCTTACCAAATCATCGGTGACAACAAAAAACCGACCACTCCGAGCCTCGGCGTAGACATTTGTTCGACCTGCATTAAACATTCTTACCCACTTTCTCACCATTCCATCACTTATCGCGTATTCACCATAAACTTCTGTCACTTGACGATAAATTTCGGCCGGTTTAACATTCCTCGCGTTCAAAAATTTAATCACGGCACGAATCTCACAGTCAGCGGGAGAACTAATTGTCTTAAATATTTTGAATGTGCACAGCAAACTGAAAACACAACATAGAGCAACCAAAATGGCGACATCACCAAGTCAGTGAACAAGAAAGACTAGTGCGCATGCGCAGGACGTCTACCACAGCGCTGCGATGGAGCTAGAATAAAATGGTACTTAGTTTCCGAATACGCTACATATTATGCAACACAATACATAAAAAACTTGAGTTAGTTATGATAACCCTTTTAAAAATAATAACTCTAAACCACAACCCCAATAAACTTCAACAATGTATTAGTAGCAGACTAAAATTCATTTATAAAAATGCCTTAGTCATAGCAAATACAGTTAAAACAAAACTTGCCAAATATTTCATTTTGCTGTTATATACATATTGTGAAAAAATATCCAAATAATTTTCAGACAGCAAATGCAAAATTTAGATATATTAGGCACAAGATAGTACTCGGATAGATAATATACTCAAGATAGTAGAAGTGAGAGATTGCCCAAGTACTATGAATGAACACAGCTGTTAATTCCAGAGATTTAAGTGTAATAGTCACTGTGTCTCTCAATAAATAAGCCTTTTAAAACATTTAGTTCAAAGAATTTATGCAGTGTGAATGGTTAGAAGAACCAAAATTTCATACTAACAAGTACAACACAATGCTAATGCTAACTTTGAAAACTATATATATATGAAAACAATTGTAAGAAAAAAAGGATTTCTAAAATCACTTATGATTTTAATCAATAATTAGTAATATGACCAATGAACTAAGACACTAAGCAAAAACAAAAGCAATGTATCAACAATATTAATACAGGGGACTTCATTAGCATGCATTTTTATATACTCTTGTGAATAATATAACAAATTATCTTAGTTAATAGTTTCTATTTGATTTTTACAGCTACCAATAAATAAAACATTAATTTTATTTTTAAAGCATTCATACCTGACGAAAATGGATGATTTATGTGCTGTTTACATATAAAATTTTCACATTGCTTGGATCATGGATGTTAATCTAAAATATTAAATCTCTCATAAAATTATACCTTTTTATGTTACAGGATTCTAAGGCTAAGAATTAACACCAATATTAAATCTACCTTATCTTTTTTTTCCCTTTCAGAGGGAGGGCCTCACTTTTTAAATGGTTAAAAATAAATGGCAAAACAGTGCAAAAAATATTCACGGAAAAATACTGTAATTCAGACAATAAAGCATGGTATATTAATTTAATAATGCGCAAAATGGAAACAAGCAACATAAAAATATGAAATGCCAATAATTTTTTCCTTTCTTTCCTTTTTTTTAAACAAAGATATGGTAAAGTACATAGACAGTTACCTGAATTTTTGTCTAAAAAGTATGCTAAAAGACATCTCAGTACAGCTTGGTGGCCAACGACTAACACATTTTCTTGTCGTTCCAATTCCTACGGGAAAATATAAAATATTAAAATGCAAAACTTTCTTATAAAACATTATTTAAAATCACACATGTACTAAAAGTGTCTTAGCATCTTACCATGATAACAGGTTCTAAACGAGCAACCAGATCTTCATATGACTGAAAAAACAATTACCTCGTAAGCATATTTCCTTTATCATAAGAATTTCTATGGCACTTTGAATAATTAATTCAAGCTCTGTTAAATAATAATTTCAAATTGATATCTCTCACATTTTCTAAACTATTATGCTTTTTCTTGAGGAAAACATGAAATTCTAACATGTAAATCTAAACATGAAATACTATTAAAGCAAAGGGGGGGAGGGAAATATAAAAATTGTTTCATTGCAATTTGCATTTCCAAATTTTAGAAATTGCATCATTCACAAATTCCGATTAAACAAATTAACCTGTAATAGAGACAAAGATTCTGAGGAAAACTTTTAAACACACAAATGGTTCTTGAAATCATTGTCTTGAACTTCCACATAGTGAAACTAAGTATGTGCAAATGATCATTTGTTTTCAAAGATTTTTACGCTTTAAGAGAATGGGAAGGAAAGCTATCATTTACTGAAGTTTCCTTCCCCATAAACTACAACATTTTTTCTTGACATATGCTCAAAATGATGATTCCTCAAGGAACAAATATGAAATTTAAGATATGGAGATTGGGATTATGAAGATACTTTAAGAAGGTGGTTAAGGTGTTTCTAAACATCTAAAAAATTATACCCAGCACAAACTTGGCAAAACTAAATATCTGCATTTGGAATCCAGAGTAATCTGCGATTCACTGTTATTACAAGATAAGTAAAAAGGTACAAATCATCTCCAATTGTTTACTTTTGTATAATGAGATTTTCTAAACATTCTCTTAGAATTTACATTTCTGTATTTTTAGGGCTATATCAACGTATTTTGTACATAATTAAACACATATTATACAAAATTTTTGTCGTGTAACATTAGAACTTTATACTTTTGGCATAACTTATTACAATCAAACAATATATATACTTATTATAGTCAAAAGTTTTTAATACGGACTCGTCGGACTTCGGCGATTCCGGATTATCGGTTTTTCCGGATTATAGATCAATTTAAATCTGGTAAGATGGCATGAAGAAATTATAAAATTAAAAATATGAAACCGTAATTTATGAAATAAAGAGCAATTTTGATCTAAAGGGTATCAAAATTTACAAAAAAAGGCTTAATATTTATTTGTTTGTTTACTTTATTAAACATTTCTTTCAATGCAAGTTGTTTAAGTTGCTTCGTTTTATGTGCTAATACCTTCCCTTTAATTCTATAAACAGATATAATTTCTTGTTCAGTTACAAAGTTCCGCTGTTCAAGTCCTATAATTGCTGCGTCGAGAATACTGACTAATTTTGTCAATCAAAATTTTTTCGTTTTCAATAACGTCTCTGTCACTTTTTTCACTATTGGAAGCGATATTTTCTGGATCTAGAACCATACTACAGATTTCGCTGCCCGTTAATTGATTGATAATTGGGGCATTGTCGTCGCAATGAAAAACTTCTGTTATATCATCTTCATTTATTACCGCTTCTCCACATTTCTTTACAAAATCCAATAACTGGAAATTTCACATTTAGTTTGCGACGTCCGAAAACCTTCAGATTCGCAGCTATCATCTTCATTCTCCTCACCATGAAACATGGTAGCTGGCCATAAATTATGCCAAGCATTTTTTAATGTACCTACAGACACGTCCTCCCGCGACCTTGCGATGCTCCACACAACAGATTTATGCTAAAAAATTTCAAAAAGTCTTGAATAGTCTTGCCACTGTTCAAGAAAATTTAACATAGATTTTAAAACTGCTACTTTATATTTGCATTTCAGCAGGTACACTATTCCCATATCCATAGGCTGAATGATAGACATACAAATTGAAGGGAAGAATAATACGGATACATTATCTTTCACTAAAACTTTAAGTGAAGTATGCGCTGAATAGTTATCAACAATCATGACTATTTTTGAGTCATCAGGTAAACCAACCGAATTCAAATGTCATCGAGCCTCGGGTATAAAATTATTTTCAAACCAATCATTTATCAACACTTGTGTCATCCATGCTCTTTTATTTGTGCGATATATAACACGGAAAATCGTTACTCCTTTAAATGCTCGAGGTCGTGCATGTTTTCCGATTTCGAAAAGTTTGCACTTGTGCATTCCTGCAGCATTTGCCAACGCTAAAATTGTTAGTCTCGCTTTGGAAACTTTTGACACCAGTTGGAGCCTTTTCTGTAGAGGTTCCCAAGATATTTCATGGTACATATTGCCAGAAAAAGACCAGTTTCATCAGCATTATAAATTTGTTCTGGAGATAATCGTTCACTAGTAATGAATTCAATGAATTCATCTGCAAATTGTTCAGCAGCTTCAGTATCAGCTGAAGATTTTTCACCTGAAATTTTTTAATTGTCTTATACCATGGCGATTTTTAAATTTGGTTAACCAACTTGTCGAATATGTGCACTCTCTGTTTAAGTTCATGTCTTCATGAAATATTTTGGCTTGAGCCATTACCATTGGTCTCGTCAATGGCACGCCCTCATTGCGATGCTGTCCGACGCATTCAATCATCACTTTGTCATGATCGTTACTTTTAGCATAACGAACACTTTTTCTGTCATTCATTGCAAGTGGGGTTTCAGAATCCACAAAAAATTCAAAAAGTTCCTTTTTCTTTTTCCTTATGTCATATACAGTTGACTTTCCAATGTTATACTCCTCATGTAATTTTGAGATGGATATTCCTTTATCCATTTTTAGCAGCAATTCCACTTTTTCTTTAATGGACATCGAAACATGCTTCTGCTTTGTAGATCCTTTTGGCAGCTCCAGAATCAGAAATTCTTGTTGACATAATCGAAAGTTCAAGCTTACTTTTATAAAATTGCTCTAACAGTCTGCAAAAAATAATAAGCCGGATCCAATTAGAAGATTAAAGAACAACGCAATCTGCAACATTAAGCGAAATAGATAATTAGATAACTTTAGCTTAGCTTATACCGTTCTGATGCAAAAGCAAAGTTTAAAGTTGTAAAAGAACATTTAGCAGAAGTAGCAATAGGAAGCTCCCTAAGGTTATATATACTATGCAGACATTGAAGACAAAAGTTTTAAACTTAACCAATTTATTTAACAATATGTATAAAAATAAAAACACAATGAATAAATTTAATCAATATCAGAAACTTAAAGAGTGTAACATAAACATTATCAAAAATTACACTTAGTTGATCATTCATTAACCCCAAGGGTTTTTCCTTTAAAGAATATTACACTATTAGACACAGTAAATATTTTACCTGATCTTTAAATACTGGCATTCAATACGCGAAAAACATATCACTGAACAGAAACTATGCGGTTATTATGAAACTCACTTCACTATCAATAAGTCCATGCTTTGAGGTCAAGAAGGCCCTTGAAAAATTAAACTAAATCCTTGATAGCACTTAAACCGGCAAAAAACCGCTCAATGTAGTTACACACGAGAAATCACAGCTTGGAAAAACATCGCTGCTAATTCTGGAAAAACGCTTATGTTGAAAATGCCGCCTTCATGAAAAACAGGATGCCGCCCACGACAGTTACTCACTGGAAATCACAGGTTGGAATCTATTGCTGCCGAATTGTAGAAACAGGATGCCGCCCACGGCTGTTGCTCACATCGTCGCCGCTTTTCAGGATCCAGAAAAGGTCATCTTTCGGAATGGAATCATGGCACTTATCGCTGGCTGGCATGCATCGCAATATCGTCTTCCAATGGGGGCTGGAACGGCACACCACGGAGCAATGAAACAGGAACCAGAAGGAATAAGCCAGAGCGACGCCAGATACTTATACCTGAAGTAGACATGACGTCATCTCACGGCAACCAATCAGCTATCGGCACGACTCAGCTTTCCAGATGACGTAACATCAAGTTTCGTTTTTGCATCTTAATTAGGCTGGAACAGTCCGTTCTTAATACAAACAGTGGCAGTGAAAAACGAAGTAGAAGTAACTGCTATATCCCTTTAAAATAAGAACTAAACCTTATGTAAAAGAATTATTTCAAGGAGGAGAGATGATGCAGAAAAAGGGTTACAATAGGTCATATTTTCCAACACACGCCCCGCCCCCCCCACATCATCATCTCCGACCTGAAATAAAAACCGAATGCCGGTATTTTTATAAAATTAAAAACAAGAATAAAATATAACAATACACAACTCCATTGAATTCAGAAAGTTTTAAGAAAAATTTCCTTTGGGGACATCTTACACCATTTTTCAAAATTTTACCATAATATGAAAGTCCAACATGTTACAAAGCAATACAAAGACATATGTATGATCACACATTCAATACATTTACCCAGGTCAATCACACAACATTCTATACTACACAATTTTACATTATCTAATACTCATCATAATATGACTTACAACATATTATTTTCAATGATACAGTCAAAAATTGAAGCATCTAAACAAAACTCTTAATTTAAAGTTAAATACACACAAAAAGCAATTTCGCAAGAAAATTGCTCCCCAAAATCTTATCAAGTTATGTTTAGTCAGCGGTTTTGTCATGGGATCAGCCAGATTATCTTTACTTGGAACATATTTTAGAATCAAAAAATTTCCCTGTTCAATAGATCACGAATGAAAATAGTTTTACATCTATATGTTTTGTCCTTGAGTTTTCAATGGGTGATTTTGTAAAACATATAGCAGCCATGTTATCAGCAAACAATATTGGTTTTGAAACATAGTTACTTGCAATCTTAAACTGAATGCATTCATCCAAAATGTTTTTAAACCAAACTAATTCTTTTGCTGATTCAGTCATGGAGATAAATTCAGCCTCCATAGTAGACAAACTCACTCCCCTTTCTTTAAATGTACGCCAAGATACAGGTGATTCTCCCAACAAAGCTATTTGTCCACCAATAGACACCATATCATCCCTGCTTGAAGCAAAATCAATCCGAATCTGAATATATATTGAGCTTCAGTTCCTTGCATACCAGTTTAAGTTTGTGATGTCTGGTATTGGAAACGTATCCTAAAAGTTTAAGTAAT